AATAACCACTCAGAGGCTTAATATTAATTATGAAAGCTTGGCCAATACCTCAGGCTTGTTACTAACTAGCTCTTAAAACTTAAATTAACCCATTCAATCAATTATGTGCTGCCACGTGGCTTGTTGCTCATTACCTCATTTTGTACATGTCCTGCACCCTCTGTGTCTGGCTGGAGACTCCTCTGACTCTGTCTTTCTTCCCAGCATTCTCTCTTCCCCAATAATTCTGCCTAGCTATCAGCCAATCAGCTTTTTATTAACAATGGGAGAAATAAATATTTACAGTGTACAAAGATTGTTCCACAGCATTTCCCTCTTTTTGTCAAATTAAAAAGGAAAGGTTCTAACTTTAATGTAGTAAAACTATATACAACAAAAAATAGTTATCAAAAATTATAGTTACAATGTCCAGCCCATTTAGCAATATTAGAGAAAATACTCTATTATCTAACTTATCTTTGTGAGTCTAAAGTTTTATACCTAATTTACCTTTTATCATAACTAAGGAAAACTTTAGCTATGACTATCTAGTTTTGAACTCCATCAAAGACCCCAGAAGGGTGAAATGTTACCTAACAACAGAGACATCTGGCTGCCTGGACAGCCACCCATGGTTCTTCTGTAACACTGGGGCATTCACCTTTGGTCTACAGGCCTAGTATATCTGATAGACTTTTCTGAGAAGTAGAGAATTTTGAAGGACTGTTCTACCTTGTCTTTGCAAAGTTTGGCAGTGTGTGTGTGTGTGTGTGTGTGTGTGTGTGTGTGTGTGTGTGTGTCCTGCTGGTCCAATTAGGACAATACACTGTCAGCAATTGAGGCAAGGGCAGTTTTTTTGCCCAAATGTCTAACTTTTTCCATAAAGAAAACAAACTCCCTATGGAGTTTCTTTGATGTCCATCCTCCTCTTTTGAAGCTAATTGGTGCTGTCAGGAGCAGACATGCCTCATTGTCATGAAAAGCCTTGGGTTATTAAACATATTAAATGCCATATTCTGCAGATCTTTGAAGTATTTGAAGACCATCTATCTAAATATATCTATTTAACCTTGAAAACAGACCTAATGTGATTACAAGTTTGATTATTATAGGTGACTAACTGCTAACCTGTATTTCTTAATTATACATTACATTTTTAAATGAGCTGTATAAGCACAATACCCCAAACAAGAGTAGAAACATGCATACAGTATAACAAAATTAACTTTAAATTTCTATCAATATACCAAAATCCATACCAATGTAAAATATTTTGAGATTAATAGTTATTTTTTGGATTAAAGTAGACTCAATCATCTACCCTTTTATCTCATCATTTCTATATCATATTCCTTTCTTTTCCTTTAGAAAGAGGTCTTTGAATGTAACTCCTTTGTCTAGCCTCCTTTTTTTTAAAAACTATGACCAATAATAACTTATAACCAACCCCCTTTAAATGATGACAAATATCCATAACCAATCTTATGGGAATGTGGGTGTTGTTTTCTCTAGATGGCTTCTTGCTGTCTGGGGGCACTGGCATCTTTAGGGGAACCTTGAGAAAATTAGGATAATTGTTAAGTCTTGGCTGGAATAGTTTGTGAGGCTGGACCAGCTCAGCCAGCATCCTTGAAACTGTTTTGGATGCAGAATTATGAGGAGACTGTAACAGAGGCATTTTGATGCTGGATCACCTGGGCCATATGTTTTCATTGTTGTCTGGCCCCCTTGTTCTGAAAATACATAAACTTTTTTTTTTTTTTTTTTTTTTTTTTTTTTTTCAGGTCAAAT